AGCCCCTTTCCTCTTTTATCAGCTGGGGCACGCATGTGTTCCACAGGAGAAGACAGGTCATACTCAGCACTCTTGTTGCTGCCATCATGTCTGGTTTGTTCTGACACTTGTGCCTTGCCTGAGAGCACTCAGCATGCAGCCACCATCTGCAGCATGAAGGGAAGGTGTGTGTGGGGGACTTTGGATGAAAGCCACCATTTTTCCTTGCCATCATGACTTCACTGCTATGGTCTGAGATGCCCTTGCTATCAGGAACAATGGCTGAACCTGTATTTTGTTGTTGCTTTGGAATATGATAGCTGGTATGGTGCCTGCATGGAGCTGAGGAAAGGTGTCCCACATCCCAATTAAGCTTTAGCAGCTGATCACTCTTAACTAAAACAACTTGCTTTATGATGCTTCTCTTCCTTCTCTATCAGCCAGCTCTGAATATATTCAAAATGTTGTTAGGCACGTATTCAGCCTTGCTTGCTGCTCTGAGTGCACATACAGGCTTCAACTCTGCTCCTCAGCATCCTGTGGTCTTGAGAGGACTCTCCACTCTCCTTTCCAGCACCCCTGCAGCACAGTGCTGCCTGCCTGTTCTGCTCCCTCTTCTTGTTAGCAGGATTAGGCTGAAACATCCAGCCAGGCTCTGGTGAAGCTCCATGTCTGGATGGTTCTGACAACAGGCTGAAATGTCAGAGTAGCTTGTGCAGATGGCACTTCGTGCTCTTCACAGTGTGCTTGATCAGCTGCAAGAAAGCTAAAGGTTAATGTTTGCATTGCCAGGCTGTGGACTGCCCTGCTCACATTAGCCTGGTATTTTCCTCTGCCCTCCTTGATGTTCTTTCTGACTCCTTGCAGCTTCAGCAGTCATCATTGCACTGATTTATCATCAGTCACCAGTGTGAATGTTTCCTTTGCAACCATTCAGCTAGGACACTGTTTTTAGTAGGAGCTTGTTGTGGATCAGAAGATGGTGGCCAACAGCAGGAAGCACTGCAGGCTGGCAGGTTGCATGTTCCCACCCCTGAGCCATGAGATGGCCCTGCACCTCATGTCCTTTATTATTGAATGCTTTCTATTTATCCCCTGTTCTCTAAGAATATAGATGTGTAGAGATCATATACTTTTGGGGCTTTACTTAGTTATCATGAAAGCTAAAACACTGTATTTTTAACAGGAGCCATAATTTAACAGAATCCATTTGCATCTTTCTAGGACCTTTGACATTACTGAAGCCTTTCCCAGCAGTGGCATTGAAAACACACCAAACCCTGTAACATCATTTGATTTCTGGCACAGTAGCCAGGCATGTGAAACATTTTTGAGACTCCCTATTCCCATCTGACAGTTCAATTTCCTTGTGAGTTTGTTGGACTCTTCAAAAGCCCAGCTTTAGGACAGGGTTCTCCAGTTCCTCTAATGTATATAAAGCTTTTCCTATACAGCATCTTGTCTGGTCTGTGCTGACAACGCAGGGTCTCTAAAGTCCAAGAAAACAAGTCATTTCTTACAGAGACATCTCCAGTGTCTTCCTTCTGTCATTGCAATTAGTGCTGCCACTTGGCTCCTTAGGAGAAAGGCCCCTGGGGGACTGAGGAGGTAGCATGTGCCATTGAGCTTGTCTCCTTCCAGGGATCATTTTCAGCGCTCCAATGAGAAGACCCTCGTTGCTGCCTACCCTGAGTCAGTGTGCTCCTGGGTTGTGTTGCAGGCTGCTGACTTCCCTCCTGATTGCAATAAACAAGTCTGATGTACAGTACCAGAACTTGTAATAAAATCAGCACAATTGTTGTTTCAGAGCAGACCTTTCAGTAATATTTGTGGTTCTGTGTTGCTCGTATCCTTCTGAAAACCTTTGCTTGCGTGACTGCTCTGGCTTCCCTGGTTTCTGTTGTGCTGCTTGAGACCTTGCTTGCCCCTCCTCACGGGTTCTGCCATGCTGCCTAATGCCCAAGGCCAAATTAAGAGCATTTTTCCCCTTTGTCTGGACAATACAGAGAAGCTAGGTGTCCTGAACACGCTTGACAAAGATTACGTGTCTTCTGATCTGTTGTTAACAACTTTGCCTGGTTCCGCTGCCTTAATTAGACTGAAATTAAACATGTAGCTTGCCATGTCTAGACAGCCTCTGGCTGTGGAGGTAGCAGGTGGCTGCGGGTCATCCTGTGTCACAGTGGAAGTGGCCAGGAGCAGGAGGCTGCTGCAGAGCACGGCTCAGGAGCTGCAGAGCCCGGTGAGCCCCGAGGCAGCTGTGCTGAGCGGGGACACAGCAGCC